TCTCTGCCCCTCCCCCGCTCATGCTCTGTCTCTCTGTCTCAAAAATAAACACACTATAAAAATTTTTTTAAAAATAATAATAATAAAATAAAAACAATCCTGTCCCTCTTTGATCCTGGGAGAAGCCCTAAGCTTCACCTCTCGGCTCACCGCATCCTTGCTATTAAATTAGCACAAATAGATGCCCCCTTCCTAAGGGGGCAGACTAAAGTACAATGGCACTGAGTAACTTGGCCCGGAAGTTGCCGTCTACACCGGCTGAGGTAGAGCCAAGCCCCTGAGAAAGCCTCCAGGTTCTACCCTACTCTGTGATAAGGCTGGGGCTTCCAAGATGTCTTCCTCTGTTCTTTCTGTCTTTTTTCTTCCTTCCTTCTCACTTCTCTCCCCCCCCTCCTGTTCTTTTCCCTGGTGTATACTTAGATCTCAATACACATTATCAGCCTCCCCCGTCCACCGAACTGAGTAACATCTGTTCAGTGCTTTGCTTTTTTTTTTCTCATTGAACAATAAATCTTGTGAACCTCCCCAAATAGCCCAGATAAAACCGCCTCACCCTTTCTACCAGCTGGGGGGGTACTCCATTGTTGGGTGCATGGGGATTTCCTTACCAACCGCCAGGGCCCTGGTTTTAATGGCACTTTCCGAGTCTGTCGAGAGTAAAAAGCACTTCCTAGTCATTCACTGGCAGTACCTGTGTTCGTGGGGCCTCCCGTGTGCTGAGACGTGCAGAGAGGTAGAGAGGCCCTTCCCTTGGAAGCCTAGTGGAGGAAGTGAGCATGTCAGAGAGGTCAAAGGGCTGCCCCAGGTCAAGTGCACACAGGGCTGTGGGGGCCCTTCCTGGGACTCTGCCCTTCTCCTGACTTACACTTCTCTGCCAAGGTAGAAGGCGACAAAACAGCCGTCCTCCGGAATGTGGCTCCGGCTCAGCATGTCCCCAGCCCTAGGAGGAAATTCTCTAGGAAGGAAGTAACGATCCAAACCCTGCTTCAAAGATACCGCAGATAGAGCGTGGGGTAGTCACCGTCGCTGTAAAATCTGGGGGCAGGGGGTTATTTAGCAAAGGCAGGAGGCTCATACGGAATGAAAGAGAACGGGGCCAGAATGGTGACCAAGACATCTTCCTCAGGGCTGAGCCTGACCCAGCCTTCCATTCCCACCTGGGGCCCTGGGGCCTTAACCCTCCTGGCCCTCTGGATGGGGCCGCCCCTCCCATCGTCTTTCCTTCTTTCATCTGGGTCTAGGAGGCCCCGGTGCAGGGCGATGCCTGCCCAGCCCTCTGTGGGCTCACAGTAGCAGCAAATCCTGCCCTGGGGATGCTGCCTTCTGCATGTGCTTGAACATGAACACAGTCTCTAAAACTGGGTCACATCCCTGGAAAATCAAGGGGTGGGGTGCTTTGGAAGGGATGGAGTAGGCAGACACTCTAAGGGCTGGAAAGGCTGCAGAAAGGCCCGCCAGAAGGGGCGGGCCTCGTCTTCTGGTATTGTGTTCAACAGAGCAGGGCACACAGAGGTCACCGGGCCTTCTGGAAGAGAGGCTTGGACTTACAGGGCTTTTCTGGTCTGGCTCCACAGGGGAAAGGCTTGCTGAGCCTTGAAGACACCCAGAAAGTGGGTCTTCTTGGTAGCAGTGGTTGTGTGTGGGGAGGGAGAGAGAGCTGTTTATTGTGGCGAGGCCCCACTATCTCTAGCCTAGTGCTAACGGAATGAAGAGAAATTCTCGCGGAACCACCTTTGGCTGGCAGGGCCCCTTCCCCAGTCACCCAGGTTCACCCAGGTTCACGGCGTCTTTGACAGCCCCATCGCGTTGGCGACAGGCCAGTCAGTCGCTGGTCTTCACAGGTTCTCATGGTTCCTGCCTTCCACCTCTTCCCTGTCTATACTGGTGCCTCCCAGCCTCATTCCTTACTTGCTAAGGAACCCGTCTGCCTCCAGCGTCCCCGTTGCCCCGCCGGGCCCCTAGCATGGGATCCTTCCCTGAAACACGCCTTCCTCATGCCTCTCCCGCTCCGGGCGCCCTGCTGCCTCCTGTGTTCAGCACAGACCTTCTGCCTGACTCAGGAGGGCACAGCTCGTTTCTTCCTCTGCCTGGCACGGAGCAGGTGCCCAGGTCAGGAAGGTGCTGTGTGATGGCGATGGACGACGGGAAGGCTACAGGGCTGCCCTGGCTTGGCAATGACATCTGTCCATGACATCTGTCCGCTCGCCCTGGCAAGGAGGGAGGATGGCAGTGGAGTGGAGCTGCACAGGCAGTGGGAACGGGGTGCCAGGACCGGGGGTCTTCACAGGGGAGAGACTGTCAGCTTCTGGAGAGGACCGGGCAGCTGTGGCAGCGAGGGTGAGAAGCAGGGCCAGGAAGGCTTCGCCTTAAGGAGGAGAGAGGGGCTGGATTTGTTGGGGTGAATGTGGGGCAGCTGAGGCTAAGTGGTGTTTCATTGTTAGCACCCACAGTACAAGACGAAGAGAAAGCATACGTTTGGAGAAAAGACGGACCATCTGGGACAATTTTGTGTGGACTCTGCCTGGGAGGCAGTGAAGGAGCGAGGAGGGTCCAGTCTGTGTAAGTCTAATATCTAGTTCTGGTAGTGCCCTCAGGCAGGGGGCAAGAGGAGACTGGCCTGGGTGGTCCAAGGCCGGAGAGGTGACGGGGCAAGTCTCCCTGGGGAGGAGAGTTGCACAGTGGGAAGGCCACGTATCGGCCCCCTTCACACACCCCCGGCTGGGCGGTGCCCACCATTCACAGAATCCCTGTCTTACAGACCAGGGACTCAAAGGCCGGAAGGCTGAGGTAAAAGAGCTTACCCTGCATGGGGACAAACCCACACAAACAGTAGAGGGTCAGGGCTGAGATTTAATCCAGATCCATGGGATGCCCACTCTCTAAACCAGCATAGCACCAAAGAACGCAGAACCAAGAGAGGCTTGGGTGGCTGGGCAGAAATGGGTATTAGGATCTAGAAAGGCCAGGAGTGGTGGGGTCAACAGGTTCGAGAGACTGTGGAGTGGTGTTAAAAAGGCACGTTGGAACCAAGATGGAGGACAGACCGGGTAGAGCCTTAGCCAAGGGCTGAAGTCACCCCCACTGCTTCCCACAGCCTGTGGTCCAGCTCTGGTCTCCTCCTCCCTTGGCTCTGCCTGGCCCCCTCCTCAGACAGGCTCCCTACTTTTGCGTAGCCCCTTGTTCATACTGCGCTTACGCATGAGTTTAAGAAGGCCCAGTAGAGGCTGGGGTGCAGCAACTTGTTCTTCTGAAAGGGGGAGGCGCCCATGTGGGCCCCTGCCTCCTGGGGATTTGGCCCGGGATGGAATGCCCAAGCTTGCCCGGGAATCACCAGCCTGGTTCTGCCGCCCTGGATGCCGGCTGGCTCACCAGAGCAGCCCCGGCCCCTTGCAATCGCCACCCTGACGTCTAGGTGGCACCAAAGCCTCACACTGATTGCTCCCAGGTTGGGGAGCCGCCTGCGCCCCGCCGACACCGGTGCCGCTCAGCTCAGTGCGCGCTCTGCTTTGTGGGTCCAGTCCCTCCGCACACATAGGGGCTGCAAGCTTGTAATTCATTCCCTTCTTCCTTCTACTCTGCCTCATCCCTGGCCCCCTTTGGGAGGAGGGAGGTGGGCTCCCAGCCCCTCTCATCTCTGCCTCAGGGACATCCCAAAGCAAGTACTCTATCTGTTCTTTTTCAAAGTGAAACACAATTTTGCTGAGAAAGACAATATAATCAATATCATGAAATTCATTTTTAAATAATTTTTAGTGTTTTATTTATTTTTGAGAGAGAGAGAGACAGACAGAGTGCGAGTGGGAGACGAGGGTCAGAGAGAGAGAGACACAGAATCCGAAGGCAGGCTCCAGGCTCTGAGCTGTCAGCACAGAGCCGGATGCGGGGCTTGAACCCACAAAGTGAGATCATGACCCGAGCTGAAGTCAGAGGCTTAACCAACTGAGCCACCCAGCCAGCACCCCTGAAATTCATTTCTAAACTTAAAAGAAAAAGTCATCAAAGTAATATATTCACACGATTCCAAACAATAAGCTCCTGTTGAACCTCTTGAGACAATTAAAATATTGTAGTAATGTATCCAACCCAGCAACGCCACAGGCATATCCGAGTCTGCAGATCACCACCCATGCTATCTGTTCTGATACAGCTTTGACGTGTGGCTGGTTAGCAAGATGAGAATTCATTCAGTCTGCCTGTCAGTATGTACTGTGAGCCCCGAGGCTGGGCACTGCCGGGGCCTTGGAGATGGCCAGAAATTAGAGGGTCCTTCTGGCCAAGCGCACATAGCACCGTGCAGCCAGATAAACTCGGGAATGCCAGGTGCCAAGAGCTAGGAGAGAAAACTAGAGCAGGAATCGGGATGGGGGTGATGGGGAGGTGTCAGTGGTCTAGAAAGATCGCTCTGAAGAAGTGACTGTGAGCAGAAACCTAAACCCACTTTGGGGAGAATTTGATGGGGGAGGGAATACAGCTGTCGGTTGCGGAGCAGCCCCCTCTACCCCCCCACCCCCCCACCCCCAGGTGAGAGCCAGCAAGTTGGGAGTCTCGGCTCAGCTCTGCCTTCCTCCAGCGTCTCTCCCGCCCCCACCGCCCCGAGGTTTCCCGCTTCCTAGAGCACCGTCCCTCCTCGGAAGCGGGTCCCCCTCACGTCCCCCGCCCCCCCCCCCGCTGCCCCTCCCCGCACGCCGCAGCCCCCCACCCCTACCCCAGGGGAAGACCGAGCCGCGGCCGCGGACACCCGTAAAGTTTCTGCGGCTCAAAGTGACGCAAAAATTCTTAAAGAGCTCTTTGGCGGCGGATATCTAGAGATCAGACCATGTGAGGGAACGAGAGTACAAATACGGCCGCTCGGGCGCCAGCGCCGGCACAGGCAGCGGCGCCCCCGGTGCCTCGAGGGCGCGAGGGTCGCCCCGCCTCGGAGAGCCGCGGACCCGCCTCCGCACGGACTCCCGGCAGGTGGGTCGCCTTTCCTCGCCGCGAATCCGCACGCCTGCCCGCGGCGCCTCCCCGGGCGAGGACGAGGGCGTCGGCGCGCCGCGCGGGGGGCTCCTCGCCCTGCCGCCGCCCTCGCCGCGAGGACGGGGGCGCACCGCCGGCGCGCCCGGGGGCGGCCGAGGGGACCTGGCGGGCTCCTTTGCCACCCGCGGGGGCGCTTTTTTGATGTCCTGAGCACCAGAGCAAGACCCTGTAGAGACCGTCTTAAGCTAAGTGCTGTCCCGCGCGTTGGGAAAAGTTGCTTTAGTTTGAAGCCACGGCTTCTGTTTGATCCTGACTTGCCGCCATGCCGTGCAGGTGGCTTCGTGCAAAGGCATTTCTGTAGGGAGACTTCTGGGTGACACAAATGCCCAAACATCTAGAGAAATCTCTGAATGACTCGTAAGTGGGATGAGTCTCCGTGCGCTTGGGTTGTTTAACTGGCAGAGCTGATGTTCGCTCAGACAGCTCACAGGCCGTTTAGAATTTATGGGAAACTCAGACGCCAACGAGCTGTTTTACATGGTTGAAGGGTGTAACCATCAATTGCTTTTTTAAAAAAAATGTGTACATTTAACTACGTGTTTGAAAACACTCTCCGGAGCTCCGCAACTCCCAGGAGCAGTTTCCTTTTGCACTGGGTCTTTTGCATAAAGGATTTCTTTTTCCGGCTAAGGTTCTGAAGAACTTGAGAGGGGTGGAATTTCTAAGAGTCAGACATTACAAACGCTTGTGTGTATGTATTTTTGTGATCAATTTTGCCCAGAAAAATGAACCAGGTCAATGGATTATTTATGAGCCTGCTGGCTCTCATCATGGTAAGACTAGATCAAATATTTAATGTGTTTTGCCTTCAGTTACATAGGGAAAATGTCTAACTAAGAAAGCAACATTAGGATTTATGTTTAGTGAAACGGAGGGGCACTCTGGCAGCATTAGTGTTTGGGCTTTTAGGAGTGGAGGGAAACACACAGCTTTGACTCTGTCCCGTTCCTTGCTTTTGTGTGTCCACTGATGTCCAAAGGTGGCTTTCCTACCACAGACCAGGGTGGGGGTGGCTGATTCCTGTGCCTATGAGAGTCTGGTTCTTATGCGGCTTGTGCAAATTAAGCAAGCCTTTTTGTGCATAGGTTTTTCTTTTTTTCACAGCAGCTGAATAAAAGTAGATTGAGACTGCTTCACAATTAATCAAAAGTCCCCTCTGCACCCTGGTTACATTCCGTTTTAGGAATGTAACGGCAGCACAGATACTCAAACCTGTTCCTTTCAGCCTCTTGCTTAAGAAACATACACTGAGGGTGGGCGGAAGGGTGAGGATGAAGACAGAATAATGTTGCTGTTTTAATGGAGTCAGCAAAACCCCAGAAATTCCTCTTTGGGGGGTTTTTAGAGTCGGTTAGCATTTTGATGAAATTCGGAGAGGCATGTCAGAGAGTTCACAAATGGGCAGTGTGGCCACGGGATGGGGGTGCTTGGCCGGAGGCGATGATCTCGTACAGTAGACTTGCAGAGACACCCTGATGTCCCCTTCCAAAGAGAAACATGGGTCATTCCTGAAATTGAGCCGCTAACTGGCCGGTTCTTCTCCTTCATAGTCATCAAATGGTTTTATTTGAGAGAACAAAGGCAGGGCTGCCTGAAGATGTTTACTTTTCATTTGGCTTTAATGAATCAACAGGATATGGTCATGACTTGACTTTTTAAAGAAAGACGCCTGTGTGGCCAAAGGTAAAATTATGCGGTCATTTTTCTGTCCACGGAGGTGCCTCAGACCTTAGTGCTTCCTGTCGAAGATCAGCCCTTCTGGGTGTCATGGTCCTCGGCTCTAAGTGAGGGGCTGAAGGTGGGGAGGCCCTGCGTAATGTGAGGTCCAAGTCCCCTCCAACTCATTCTGTGACTGTGACCCTAATCTCTCTGTTTTAAGCATACATGACTTGAAACGATAGTACAAAATGCCCCAAGTGCTGAGACTCTACCCAGAGGTTGCCATCAAATCGGGGTCCACTGGGGACACCCCAGGTTTTACTCTAGGGCACATGCTGCCATGCACATGCGAAATCCCGGACCTCAATCATAAACAAGCAACAGCTCCCCAGCTCCCAACCTCTCTTTTGCAATATGCCAAAGTGCGGTGCAGTGGAGATAGCCTCTGGGCAGTACAGATTTGGGTTGTGCCAAATTTCTTTCCAGTTCCGGAGCTGTGGACAATCGGCTGTACGCCTCTGAGGTTTGCGGTGTCCAATGTAACAGTAACAGGCTTGGGTGTGGAGTCAAAGATGATAAATCGCCCCGTGTCTCCATTCCTGGGGCAAGTGAGCCTGACTCACCCGGCTCCTGTGGGGAATCCGTTTCTGGGCTGAATCTTAAAGAGCACACACACCGAGGAAAGAAAACTGTCATCCTAGGAGGGACCCAACTGGAAAAGAGATGAAATTAGCCTGGAGAAGAAACCTAGGCGGAGGGTGAACTACTTTTCTGGGATGGACACAACAGGCCGACCCCCTTTTTCCTAGGCGGAGCCCCTGGTACTGACTTGGGCCCACTCGCAGAAACCATTTCTGAGGAACGTCTCTGTGCAGGGACATTCCCGTGACCGTGACCTTGGCTGGCTGGCGGCTAGTGGGAGGATGAGCGCTCGCTTACGGGTATCAATAGCATGTTTTTAAAGCGAGCGGGCGTTTCCCCAGCCCTTTGTCTACGTGGTGACACAATGAGTAGAGAGAAGGCTGGCGTGGGACCGTCTGCCTTATTTTCTCTTCCTTTTGGCTTCCTTTTGGCTCTCCAGCAGCGGCTTCCTTGCTGCCACCCCAGTCTTGGGCCAAAGGTACTTGTTAGCGTGTATTTAAGCCACAGGCTTTTTATTTTTAATTAATTTGATTTTATCTTTAAGATTTTATTTAGTTTTTTTAATGTTTAGTTTTGAGAGAGTGCAAGAGGGGGAGGGGCAGTGAGAGGTGAAGGGGCAGTGAGAGGGGGAGGGGCAGTGAGAGGGGGACAGAGGATCTGACGCTGGCTCTGGGCTGACAGGCTGGTCGTAGCAGCAAGGCCTTAGTGGGACTCAAACTCGGTAGCCCTGAGATCATGACTGGAGCTAAAGTCGGACACTCAAGCGACTGAGCCACCCAAGTGCTCCTAGGAGTATATGTTTAAATAATCCTGACACCCAGCGTGGGGCTCCAACTCACAACTCTGAATCCAAGAGTCACACGCCCCGCTGACTGAGTCAGCCAGGTGGCCCTAAGCCATAGGCATTTTAAAAGCTAGGACCGGATATTCTTTCATTAACCCCAGAGCCCCCTGGACTGCAGAGCAGAGATGAAGCCCAGCAATACAGAGACGTGGAGGCAGTGACCCAGGGCCAGCCCGGTGGCGAGGGCTCCCAGGCATTGACAGGTGATCGATGGCATGGGGAGGGTCTCCTGGGATCCTGCAGTCCGGTTCTTTACGTCCTTATTTGAGGTAGGGAGGAAAGAGGTGGGGTGGGGTCGGGGGGAGGTTGTGACAAGGCCAAGTGGCAGATCTGGGAGAGCCAGTTGTGTGCTGTGGGGGAGTCCAGAGCTGGGCTGGTAGGTGGACTGGATCGGAGGGAGCAAGTCAGCGGGCCTTGGCCTTCTTGTAGTTTTGTGTGATTTTTCTGGGCATAGTCAAAGAAAAAGAACATTTTATTTCCGTTACCACTGAGCTGCTGTATGAAAATAAACTAAACAGACTTTTTTCCTCTAATAAGGGACTCCCTCGAATTTAGGGAGGGGCAGAGCTGGAGGGGGGCCAGGTCCCCTGTGGCTTATTCAAGCCCGTCCAGGGCTGCGAAGACACAGCCAGGCCTGGAACTTGAGTCTCCTGCACCTCTCTGTTCTTTCCTTCTCCCCTGGGTGTGTTGTTTTTATACACTAATCAAGTTAGCTGGCTCTTTTCCTCACTTTAGAGGAAAGGAGCTGGACCGGAGGAAAGGGGAGGGAGAGCGGAGATAAGCTATTCTGGGTTCCCAGCCCCGGCCCCTGGCCTGCAGGGAGGTTTGACTGACTGGAGGTTCCCCAGCCTTCTGAGGGCTAGAATGACTTCCCTCTCCCCAGTTTTTTATTTTGAAAAATTCCTACTGAAAAGTCAGGGAAATGGTCCAGTGAACCTTCACCCAGAGTCACCAGCTATTAACATATTGTCACAGGTGTGCATGCACACTCTCTAACATTGGCATGTGAAATACAGTCTAATACACTTTCTATAATATGTGATATAATTCATGTGATAATTATACAGTCTATAGATTACATAAATTTTTTTGTTGAACCTCTGAGAATTTGCAGACGGCTAAATATTTCCTCTCTTGGCTGCTAAGGACAAGGACATTCTCCCATGTAAGCAGAGCCCCGTCATCACATTTGAGAAACAACGTTGATAAAATATTTTTTATCAAATATATAGCCTGTCTGCCTTTATTTATTTATTTATTTATTTATTTTAAATTTCAGATCGTTTTTTCCCCCTTTGATTTTTTTTTTCAAATTTTTACTTAAATTCTAGGTGGTTAACATATAGGGTAATATTGGTTTCAGGTGTAGGATTTAGTGATTCATCACTCATACAACACCCAGTGTTTCTTACAAGTGCCCTCCTTAATGCCCCTTGCCCATTTAGCCCATCCCCCCCACCCAACATCCCTCCATCCACCCTCAGTTTGTTCTCTGTATATAAGAGTCTCTTCTGTTTTGCTTCTCTCTCTTCTCTTCCCCGCCTCCCTTCCCATATGTTCATCTGTTGTGTTTCTTCAATTCCACATAGGAATGAAATCATATTGCTTATCGAATACAGTCTAGCTCCACAGCCCGTATTTAAGTTCCCCCCACTATTTCAATGGTAGTGTAGGGGGTTATCTCTTTTTTTTTTTAATTTTTTAATGTTTTATTTATTTCTGAGAGAGAAAGAGACAGCGTGAGCAAGGGAGGGTCAGAGAGAGAGGGAGACACAGAATCTGAAGCAGGCTCCAGGCTCTGAGCTAGCTGTCAGCACAGAGCCTGACACGGGGCTGGAACCCACGAACTGTGAGATCGTGACCTGAGCCGAAGTCGGACGCTCAACCGACTGAGCCACCCAGGCGCCCCAGGGGGTTACCTCTTGAGACCACAAACTCCTAGGGTTTGGAAACTACCTCTTGCCCTCATCTCAGTGCATCTGAGGACCAGATCGGTGCAGTGTCAATGCCGAATGGGTTTTCATGAATGTTTCCAAACTGTGTGTGACACATTGTAAAGCGCATTCCAGAACTTCTTGACCCCCTCAAGCAACATTACCTAAGTCACATCTTGTGGCCTCTCTGGGCCCCTCCGCTCTGCTGTTTGACCCCATCTCCTCCCCTATGTGCCCGCCCCCCACCGCTCCCTGCCCCACCCCGAGAAATGGGCCCA